CTAGAAATCACAGCGATTCACAATCTCGATAATTTCGCTCTCGACGAGTTCAAAACACACACTTTACGGCTCACTAGGTCGAAACTAACAGAATCATAAATTACACGGAACTCAAAGTAACTACTGCTTTCTCTTCATTCATATATCCCGCCGGCTTTATCTGTCAGGCTTATATACTAACGAAGAGGGCATCTCGAGCACACTCGGACATCCGCGATCATTCGAGAAACTCATCAGCGTCACGTGACTTCCACTGTCGTAACAATCAGAATCAAATTACTTTTTTTTTTGCTTAGTCAAACTTTTCAATGCAACAATTATGGTACACGATGGTACAATATCGTAGTCGTCAAGTGACGACTGACTGCGATTTCAATTTTAGTTGTTTTTTTTCTATGAACAAAATATTTTACACAAACAACATTTAACCCGCGTGTAATCCCCCCATAAATGAACATTACTCTAAATACAATTGCCATGGGCTTTCTAGACTTATTTAGGTCTAACATACATATGCTCAGTTAATTAAAAACCATATACTTTTCACTTTATGAACACACATTCAGATGTTTTTGCCTTCATTACAACTTTACATTTACTTTACTTTGCAATTACTTAACTACGGTTCGTTCCATATATTGCTATAAACACCAATTAGCAATTTTTCTTTACTATGGGATTTATTCTTCGTTTTTTATGAGTTTCTTTGTTTTAACTCGTAAAACTGTGTCATACACTGAACGTTCATAACTGTTTCATACTCTGTATACTATTATAAATACCATTACTTTTATTAAATAAAGTTATGTATGTGTAGTTTTATTAAATAAAGTTATGTATGTGTAGTTTTATTAAATAAAGTTGTGTATATGTAGTTTTATTAAATAAAGTTGTGTATGTGTAGTTTTATTAAATAAAGTTGTGTATGTGTAGTTTTATTAAATAAAGTTGTGTATGTGTAGTTTTATTAAATAAAGTTGTGTATGTGTAGTTTTATTAAATAAAGTTGTGTATGTGTAGTTTTATTAAAGAACGTTATGTATGTGTAGTTTTATTAAATAAAGTTGTGTATGTGTAGTTTTATTAAAGAACGTTATGTATGTGTAGTTTTATTAAAGAACGTTATGTATGTGTAGTTTTATTAAAGAACGTTATGTATGTGTAGTTTTATTAAATAAAGTTACTTACATGTAGTTTTGTTAAATAAAGTTATGTATATATATATACATTTGTCAGACCGCATAATTTTTTTTTCAAATAGACCATAATTTATCGATCTAACACATAATGCCTGCAAGAAAGCGTAGCTTAAATGGCGTGCGTGAAAATGATAGCATAAGGAAAATTCAAGCGAAGGGCATGAAAACTACAGCAAATGTTTTGCGGGTTGCGCCTTGTATAGAAATATTAAAACCTGTCCTACGTCTCAGATATTGTCAGCTCTAGTTTCAGGAGCTTGTCTAATAAGTAATAGCAGGAGTGTGTTATTTACTTTAATGCTAAGTTGGAATTACTACTGGGTGACAGAACTGAACTTTAAAATAACTAACTACTCTCGAGTTGGACAGAGTAGGACATTTGCAAATTGATAATTAGTTGGACATTTGTAAGTGTTATTTTTTAACTGGTTTATCTCCTTGACGCAGTGAATTTTACATTTTGTATAGTCATTAGTTTAATTTGTTGTTGGATAAATTACTGGATAATTTAGTGAGCTATTTTAAATAAATACACTTGTAACTTCTAAATGGCGCTAAACGGTTAAGGAATAATAAACCTTTTAATGAAATGTGTTTTTGTTGTTTTTACCTGCAAACCTGCAGTGCCGAAGTTAGTGAAACAAGAGTGTATTTCATTTTAAATGGCTTTTACGAACTGTTTAAATGGCTTTTACGAACTGTTTAGCGTCTTGAGATATCCTACAACTGGAAATGAAATACGCTCTTGTTTCACATACACCTTATATATTATAATATATCATCAAACTAAGTTAGAAGGTTTCATATCTAATTAATGTGATAATTACTAGATAAGTAAAAATAATGGAGTTGCATTGAAGTTGTTGTATTCTTGTTTTTTGGCTGAGTGGAGGTTAGTGCTTAATGTTAGGAAACTTTAATCCGAGATTCCACTCTCTTAGTCCCCTTGACCTAAAAACGCCCTTCGCACTTTGGCGCTGTGGGTGCGCTATAAGAGTCAGACAAATTCCACTCTTCAATCAGATTAGAGATGGCTTTACCAAGATGGCTTCCGTGCATTTTTGCGAGAAAATTCTAAACAAACAATGTATCTATGGAACATTATAAAAATATACTTTAAACATTTATGTATAATAAGACAACGTATATGCTTCAGAACGATCTTTAGCTTGACCGACACAACTTTTGACAGCAGTACGATCAAATCACCCAAATTAAAATGTTTTAATTTATTAAATACAATTTAATAATATTTCTTTACAACATGCATTCATTGAAAATGCGTAGTTCAGTAAATCCAAAATTCGCGTGTATTTTTTTTTAAGGTTTATACCGATGCTCTCTGACCTAGTGGTTAGAGCGCTCGAGTCGCAATCTGCGGGTTGCGGGTTCGAATTCCCGTCACCGAATATTCTCGCCCTTTCAACCGTGACAGTGTTATAATGTGACGGTCAATCCCACTGTTCGTTGGTAAATAAGTACCCCAAGAGTTGGCGGTAGATGGGGATAACTAGCTGCCTTCCCTCTAGTCTTACACAGCTAAATTAGGGATGGCTAGCGCAAATAGCCCTGGTGTAGCTTTGCGCGAAATTAAAAAAAAACAAACAAACAAATTACATCGTATATTAATTTAGATAAACATACTTCAAGCCTTATACACTTGAGCTAAAGTATTTTATGAAGATTATATGCAAATTTGTATTAAGAAACCTCGACTAAATATCTTACGAGCTGAGGTCTTCTTTGTCTAAGTTTCATATCGACGATCTGGTCAGTTGTACACCGATACAGTTCATGTTTCGCTGGAAATATTCCGAACTAAGATCTTTGTTTGGTTTGTTTTGAAGTTAAGCACAAAGCTCCACAACGGGCTCTCTGTGCTCTGCTCACCACAGGTATCGAGACCCGGTTTCTAGCGTTATAAGTCCGCAGACATACCGCTGGGCCACTGGGGGGCGTTTGTTTTGTTTTCAGCTCTATATCGATAGAATAGCCATCACATACGCCGGATAGATCCTGTATCTTGTCTATGTATTTTTCGAATGTAAATCGAAACAATAACCACAAGAAAGATTTGCAGTGATTCATAATGCAATAATAGGTTATTCTAGTGCATACAAGAGGCTAGAATATCTATATAAAACTT